CAAATATGGATCTCTTCCAGTCAGTTGACCAGGTGGCTGTCTTCCAAATTTCTTGGCATAGATGAGTGAGTGCCTCCAGTTCTGCATCATTTTGTTGAGAAATTTCAATTTGTATTCCATCAATTTCCAGAACCTTGTTATTTGCCAATACCTTGGAAATTCTATACAGGGTCACCATGAGTTGGAACCAACTCAGTGGCAATGGGTTTGTTATTGTTTTTGTGGGGGAAGTATTAGTTGCAAAAAGCTAAAGAACAAAGGGGGCAAAAAGACAAAAATGATAATAGGAAATTCTAGTGAGAAAAGGAAAAGAGAAGAGGAGAAGTCCAATAGGTTGAAGGAAGCCCTTGCTTTCTGGCTTCACATTGCCTGGCTGCTTCCAAAGTTGAGGTCAGATGCAAAGAACATTTGACGTGCCTGAAGTCGGAAATAATATAAAAAGAAATGCCCGGTTCCCAGACTGTCAGTTTACTACAATTATGATTCACGTTTTCAATTGAAGTTTCAAAACCTGTTTCTCCTCTGCTGTTGGTTAAATTGCTTTCTTCTGTTCATGTGGTGGTGGCTGTGTGCCGCAGAGTCAGTTCCAACTCATAGTGACCCTGTACAGGGTTTCTGAGGCTGTAAATCTTTAAGGGAGCAGAAAGCCTCATCTTTCTCCCGTGGAACAGCTGGTAGTTTTGAACTGCTGACCTTGTGGTTCGCAGCCCGATTCACAACCACTACACTACCAGAACTCCTTTGGTGTTCACCAAAGTCTTCCCTTACTTTGTTACAAGTGTCACTTTGTTACAAATAACATCTAATCCCAAAGTTCCAAGGTCCAGTGATGCCATAGGCTTGCCTATTTGCCAGACTCATTACGACTATGGCTTGAACATTAGAAAGAAATACATTTAATAAACCTTTTAAAATATATAATTGATACATGTCTACTTGAATATTTGTGGTTGCTATTGTTCTTAAGTGCTGTGGAGTTGGTTCTAACTTTTAGCAATCCTGTATAGGGTTTACAAGAAGCAGCTGGTGGGTTTGAACGCCAACTTTGTGGTCTGCAGTCCATTGCTGATCCTACAGCACCACACCAGTATGCCACACTTTAACATATGTAATATTACATACATATATGAATTGATTGTTTCATTTTAAATTACTTCAATCTATTCCTTCCTAGTTTATTTAATTTTCTTAGCCTACCTGGGTACATGAAATTCTGACCAACACAATTGGAAAGATTTTTAATGACAAATCACTAACTCACTACTAATAAGTATGAGAAATAGAATGCAGCTACGGAAACAGCGACTCTAAAAATAAAGCAAACATGCAGTTCATTGCAACTCACTGAGCTCATGTACCTTATCAGGACTCCCACAGTTTCTCAAACACAATTGAATTTCTGTTCCATCTAATTTCCATCCGTCATCATGATGTGCCTAAGAAGCTGTTCAACAACAATCAGTGAGGTCTATGTAGGATCCTGTGTAAATTCTTGACATTTTTCTAATTGTTTTCTGAAAAACCACGTGCACAAAAGGCAGTTACAATGGAAGCAGTCAGTCATTAGCAGACCAACATCCTCAGCTGTGTGTGTGTGTAGGTGTGCACTCACACACAGGTGCATGTGTGCATCAAAGGCCTTCCAGAACTAAGAATTGACTGTCTTCCAGATTATTAATCCTTTTACTTCCTTTACATATAGAGTAGTATCAATTAAAGTAATTAATTCCCAATAATTAAAAATTATATTAATGCATGGGGGAAAGAAATCCTGCTGCTGATCAAATGAGTTTTATCTGTTGTATATGGGTAGGTTCCAGGGTTTTGAACTGGGTTAGCTCAGTTCAGTCATGGCTGACAAAGTGACCCTGTAACAGACCCAGATATTCAAAATTAGTGAACTGGAATGATAACCAGTATACAAATAATTATGGATCAAAGCCCTATTAGAATCCCCCCTCCATACCCAGAGTAGACAGAGTTAGGCAACTAGGACATTGGCTACCCAAAGTGGGGGGGCTACAAAGGCAAGAAGTGACTGGCTTACAAGCTTTCAAGAGGGAACCTAGATGCAGAGGGTGTGGAGGAAGGTAGAATCTCCACTGAGTAGTATCCAATCTGTCTGGGTGGGACTGATGAAAGGAGATGCGAATAGGTCTCTTGTGATACAATAGTGAATAATTGTTATCAGGACTGATTATGAGGGTTAGAAATGTAAAGGTAGACATTTTGTAGCAAAAGGGGGGAAGTGATTGACTTTGCAGTCTAGGAGCAGAGGTCTCTGGGACCATCAAGGAAGAAGACCGGACAGCGGGACCCTACCCAGAGAAACAGTGATGCCAGAGATGGAGGCAGAGATGATGATGTGGAGAGATGGAACAGCTGGAAACTCTAGACCCAGAGAGCGAGAGGGGCTGTGTGCTGACGACAACTGGGGGTAGGGCAGGCTTGCAGGGTATATACCCTTTGGTTGGTTGATGATGCATGGAGGGGCTTGTAACCATGGCAATGAAACGATATATGATAGGATGAATGTAAAGTTAATGTTCTCCCATGTAAACTATCTCATAATTCACAATAAAACATTTATTAAAAAAAAAAAAAGCCCTATTAGAAACTTAATCTATCTCTTATAAAATAAGGACAGTATGTGTGTTGCATAGCAACCAAATCTCTGACCAGCTGAATTGAAAACAACAGAGCCTGGTTTAAAGACGGTGGGCAAGCAGCCACTTTCAATGTGTGTCACTCTCAACAGTCTTGGCAATAATCCAATGTCATGCATTAGGCTCCTGAAAGGGCTCACTATGCCTCTTCCAAGTTTCTCAACCCCAGACTTCAACCCATATTCTTTGCCATTCCTGTTAGCATTCTAAATGACCCAGATTACAAATATGCTAAAATTTGGGCCTGTTTCAGCTTCACTTCATCAACTCTGACTGAACTGGTTTGAACTGATTTTAACTCTTGGTAGGTTCAGAAGGTAATAAGTTTCCTTAAATAGTTCTCCAGGCAACATTAAGATCACCTTAGTACTGGTCATCAAAATGCACATGTAAAAACTGTTGAGTGGGCTTATGTTTTGTATATACACACACATGATGATCACCTTAGTACCTCACTATGTCTTTTAAATAGTTGGTCTACAAACGTGGTCTACAAAGCAGATTTTTAAGATTGAAAACAGCAATTTATATGAAAGCACTGCTTGTTAATCATGAAGTTCTCTTTCTCTTACTTCCCCTCCCCTTCATTCTAGGGGAGTGCAGCGAAGAACTAAAATAAGAAAACTATAATTGCCATCACATTCCTCCCCATGGGGACAATCTAATTATCAGCCTCTCACCCCAAAATAAATTTACTTCTTTAGAAAGGTCTTATCACTCATGAGAAAAAATACAAAGAAAGATTAAGCTGCCATTTAGACATCACCGCCATCTTTTATTTTTAAGTGATGTCTTCGTTTAATGGATTCGATGTGTATTCCTTCAAGTGAAATATGTATTACAGGCAAAAACTGTAATAAATGGCACCATCATGACCCTTAGGTTAGAGCAAAGGAATATTGGAAAATAAATCTCAATTCTGGATACTCACCAATCCTGCAATGGGGGTAGGCAATCTATTGATCTTCTTAACAAGTCCTGGCTTTATGGCATTCAGCAACCTGTCATAAAAAAGACAGAATGTCAAGTGGGGCTTAAAGCAAGATGGATCACACACATCGTCCTTATTCAGGACAACAGCTAAATTGCTGAATAGAAAAAGCAGTGAATTTTAAGCATCTAATAAATCTCAATAATCTCAATAATCGATGAACCTTCCTGCACACAAGTGGAAAGCTTTGCCAACATCACGTTTACCCACGGAACGTGAAGGTTTAGAACTGGAGAGAAAGAGTGGAGACTGAGAAGGTACGTCAAGAGAAAGGGATACCGGTGTGAGCTGGATAGTGGTTGATAGAGAATTGTCAGGGATTGGAGCCAATTCTTACTGAGCAGGTAAGGCCTGTTTTCAATTCTCCCAGGAATTCTCAAAGTCCAGAGACAAACATCTATCTTTCCAAGTAATTTGCCAAAACTAATTCTACCTCCAGACCTTGGACTGCTTGCTCAATTGAGGAGAATGGCTTGTTAAATGTGGCTGAGCTTCACTTAAGATTTTAAAGAAGGCAGACCACAATTCACAAAGTACAAAAGATTGTTAAGCAAAGGATCTTTCAGGTTAAAAGTTGAAATCATATGAAAATACAATTTCATGTGGAAAAATGACCTATGTGAAAACAGTGATATAAGCAAGAAGATGCAGGAGAAATCTCTATGTAAGTGGTAGTCTTCACTAAATATCAGTTCCAAGAGGAGAGGAATAAGAAATACAACTGAGAAAACTGAAATATGGTCAGCATCAGGGTAATACAATACACTGTAGTACAGTGGCAGTTATGTAGGGTCACTATGAGTTGGAACCGACTCCACGGCACATAATAACAACAACAACAACCGTGGCACAGTAAGGGGGCGTGGGAGCGCCCACAGCATCAGGTAACATTGTCAGAGGGTGTGACATCAAAATGGCTGTCTGTAAAGTCTGGGCAGTGTTTGGCCAGATATTTGTTATTTTTTATTAAAACATTCCTGGCTAGATAGTTATAACAACAGAAACACTTTACACAAAACAAGCTTATATATATCTATATATAAATCAGTATGTCTACAAGGCTTGTTATTATTTTTGTTAAGTGTTGCTGAGTCAGTTCTGACCCATAGTGACCCTGAATAGGGTTTCCAAGGAGCGGTTGGTGAGTTTGAACCACCTACCTTGTGGTTCCAACTGACTTTGTAGTCCAGTGCACTAACTCACAGCGCCACACCAGGATTCCTCCTACCATGCTTGTTGTTGTTGTTGAGTGCCGTGGAGTCGGTTCCGACTCATAGCGACCCTGCACAGGGTTTCCGAGGCTGTAAATCTTTACAGGAGCAGAAAACCTCATCTTTCTCCCGCGGAACCGCTGGTAGTTTCGAACTGCTTACCTTGCGGTTCACAGCCCGATTCGTAACCACTACGCTACCAGAGCTCCTACCATGCTAGAGAGATGCTAATTTACTTTTCGAACCTTCTAATGGAGTCCTAAAGAGCTCTGGTAGCGTAGTGGTTACGAATCAGGCTACAAACCTCAAGGTCAGCAGTTCGAAACTACCAGCTGTTCCGCGGGAGAAAGATGAGGTTTTCTGCTCCTGTAAAGATTTACAGCCTCGGAAACCCTCGCTATGAGTCGGAACTGACTCCACAGCACATACCAACAACAACAATAGAGTCCTGGTATGGCACTGTGGGTTAATAGGCCAGAATGCAAAGCCGTTTGAACTACAAGGTCGGTGGTTCAAGCTCACCAGCTGCTCCTCGGAAACCCTATACAGGTCGCTATGGGTCGGAACCGACTCGATGGCACTTAACAACAACAACAACAATGCACTCCTGGAGGCCTAGTCTGGTGCTGTGGGTTAATGAGCTGGACTGCAAAGTCGGTTTGAAGCGCAAGTTACGCGGTTCAAGCTCACCAGTCACTCTGCGGAAACCCTATACAGGGTTGCTATGGGTGGGAACCAACTCAACGGCACTTACCAACAACAATGCACTCCTGTCCAGAGTCCTGGTGTGGCACTGTCGGATAAGTGCTCAACTGCACGGTGTATTTGAACCTAAAGGTTGGTGGTTCAAACGCAACAGCTGCTCCTTAGAAACCCTATACAAGGTGACTAACAGGCGGAACCCACTGCACTTAACAACAACAATGTACTTTAGTCAGAACTGTCATTACTACCCAGTTACAGTGACACTTCAAAATCATGTGCTCTTATCTGCATAAGAATGCACTGTTGTTTTCATTGCTACTAGTGTTTTTATGGTTGTTGTTGTAGTTAAGTGCAGTCGAGTCAGTTCCGACCCATAGCAATCCTGTATAGGGTTTCCAAAGACTGGCTGATGAGCTTGAACCACCGACCTTGCAGTTCAAACTAACTTTGTATTTTTGTCAAATTTTCTGGTGTTTTAGAGACAGTATTGTGGTAATTAGTTTTTGTGAACCCATATAAATAACTTTTTTAAAGAATATAGTAGTTAAGAAAAAGGGAGAGAGAAAAAAAAGACTTCTGCTCAGTTACTAATAGTTGTACTTGGAATGTTATAATGCAATGTAGAAAAGTTTTCTCAAAACAAGTTGTTGTTAGGATTCATGTAATCTAAGGAATGTGACATTTAAGCAGTTTGCAAATCTATTTACCATATATTACTCGATTTTAAAATTGACCTTTGACAGGAGAAGGCCCAAATTTGGCCCAATGCCTGTTTTTCGTAAATAAGCAGAATCATTCAAGTCCATGCTATGTACAGCTGCTTTTGTGCTACAATAGCGGATTTGAGCAGTTACAACAGAGACTGGATGACCCACCAAACAGCCCACTGCCGTTGCATCAATTCTGACTCTTGGAAACCCTACGTGTGACAGGGTAACTGTCCCAAAGGATTTTCTTGACTAATTTTTATATGAGCAGATAACTCAGCCTTTCTTGTAGATACAATGTGAGTTACAACCACCAACTTTGAGGTTGTTCAAAGGGTTTGTGCCACACAGGAATCTGTATTGCCTACAAAGCATAACATTTCCATTATCTAGTCCTTATCAGAAAAAGTTTCCAACCTTTAATATAATTCATTCAATTCAAGAATCTAGAAAATTCTGAAGAACCTATGCTTGATTGTTTCTATAGTTCAGTTGCAAATAACTCTTTGAATTAGTATAAAAATTAGACTTGATCTTACCCTGTATTTGTTTTTGACACTTGCATTAACATATTGAGAAATACTTCTACAATGATTCTGTCACTTGGGGGATATACTGTTTTTGCACAAAGGCTTTATTGCCTATTCTTAGGAACTTTCAATGAAGTTTCAACATACTGCCACCCACTGTTAACATTCAGAATGGACACATGCCTTTTTACCCAAAAAATTCAAGATGGTAATTCTTTTATGGGCCTATCGCTTCTCGGAAACCCTAGACAGGTTCACTATGAGTCAGAATTGACTTGGCGGGACGTAACAACAAAAACAAAAACAATTTAATGATGAATGGAATTTTTTTAAAAGTTCTTCTCTGTAGCTATTTTGGAATTATTGGTTTTTCAAGCTTGAAGCCACCTTATTAACTCTTCTCATTTTAAAGCTGGGAAAACTAAAGCCTAGGGAGGAGATGTAGGGCAGTCAGGCCTATAACCCAAATTTCATGGATCAATGCTCTTTCTCAGATAGTGATAGTGTCCCATATCATGTGGTTTAAAATAAACAAAGAGATACAATGCTTCTGAAGTAAAGTTTTCAAATGTATAAAACTCTTTGGAAACATTAGATTTTTCATGTGTTCTTAGCAGAGCAACGTTGCTTTGTTCTTGTTAGGTGCCATTGAGATGGTGTAGTGACCCTATGCACAAAAGAACCAAACACTGCCCGGTCCAACACTAACATCACAATCATTCCTATGTTTAAGCCTATTACTGCTGCCACTATGCCAATCCATCTCACTGGAGGGCTTCCTTTTTTGCTATGACATTCTACTTTACCAATCATGGTATCTTTCTACAGAAACTGGTCCCTCCTGATAATATGTCTGATGTATGAGAGACAAAGTCTGGTCATTCACGCTACCAAGGTGCACTCTGACTGTACTTCTTCCAACACAGATTCATTTGTTCTCTAGGCAGTCCGTGGTACTTTTAATATTCTTCTCCAACAACATACCTCAAATGCATCAATTCTTGTATGGTCTTCCTTATGCACTGTCCAATTTGCACATGCACATGAGGTTACTGAACATACCATGGCTAGGGACAGGTACACCTTAGTATTCAAGCTGACATCTTTACTCTTAAACACTTTAAAGAGGTCTTGTGTAGAAGATTTGCCTAATGCAATACATCATTTGATTTCTTGACTGCTGCTTCCATGACTATTGATGGTGGATGCAAGCAAAATGAAGACTTTGACAACTTCAATCTTTTCCCCACTTATACGGGTATTGTTTATTGGTCCAGTGGTGAGGATGTTTGTTTTCTTTACATTGAGGTGCAACTCATACCAAAGGTTGTGCTCTTCATGATCTTCATTAGTAAGTATTTTAAGTCCTCTTGGCTTTCAGAAGGCAAAGTTGTATCATCTGCATATCGAAGGTTGTTAATGAGTCTTCTTCCAATCCTGATGCCATGTTTTTCTTAGTATAATCCAGCTTCTCAAATTGTTTGCTAAACATACAAATAGAATAACTATGGGAAAGAATACAACCCTGGCAAACATCTTTCCTAATTTTAAGCCATCTGGTGTTCCCTTGTTCTGTTGTAACTGCTGCTTCTTAGTCTATATACAGGTTCCTCATGAGCACAATTAAGTGTTCCAGAATACTTATTCTCTACAATTTTGTCCATAGCTTGTCATGATCCACACAATCGAAAGCCTTTGCATAGTCAGTAAAGCATAGGTAAACATCTTTCTGGTATTCTCTGCTTTCAGCCAAGATCCATATGATGTCAGTAATCAGATCCCTTGTTGCATGTCCTCTTCTGAATCCAGCTTGACCCTCTAGAAGTTCTCTGTCAATGCATTGTTGCAGCTGTTTTT